CTCGGCACAGGTCAGGTTGGTTCAGTTCTGGGGTCCCCAGCACAAGAGAGACCAGGATATACTGGAGACAGTCCAGTGAAGGACCACAAAGATGATGAAGGGATTGAAGCATCTCTCCTATGAGGACATGCTGAGAGAGCTGGGACTGTTCAGCCTGGAGAAGAGAAGGCTCAGGAGGATCTCATCAATGTGTATAAATACCTGGGGCGAGGGTGCAAAAATGATGCAGCCAGGCTCTCTTCAGTGGTACCCAGTGACAGGACCAGAAGCAATGGGCACAAACTGAAACACAGAAGGTTCACCCTGAACATCAGGAAACACTTTTTCACTGTGCGGGTGATCGAGCACTGGCACAGGTCGCCAAGGGAAGTTGTGGAGTTTCCATCCTTGGATAAGTTCAAAAGCCATCTGGACATGGCCCTAGGCAACCGGCTCTAGGTGGCTCTGCTTGAGCAGGGGGTTGGACCAGATGACCTCCAGAGGTGCCTTTCAACCTCAGTCCTTCTGTGATTCTGTGAATTTCCTCCTGCAACAGGGTGGCTGCTTACCAGGGCTGTCGGGAGGCCACCACATTGACACCACATGGTATCACAAGGGCTGCTGAGAAGCTGCTTCTTGGGAGCAAGGGAGGGAGAGACAAGAGAGAGGAAATCCTTACGAGGTGGCTCTGCTGCTCCTTCGGCATTGCTCAAACCCCGCTAATCAATATGTCCCTGGGAAATCAGGGGGCTTTGCCAAAAAGGCCTCAGAAGGGGCTGTCCCGGGACCCACTCAATTCTCCAGTCTCCTGCAGGCAAACACCAAATCTGCAGATGTGTTCAGGTCAGAGGTGGGTTTCCAGCATCCCGGCGGAGGGGCTCGGATTCAAATTGGTGTCACTACATTGCAGCAACGGTCCAGGCTCAACCCACTGAAATTTAGGAAAGATAAACTCAACCAACCATGCTGGGGAAGGCGAGCCCCGGTCCACAAATGCGGTTATACGGGGCTGCAGAAACGGAGCCGAGGGTGAAGCGCAGCCACAGTGATGTCAGCGGCACAGCGCTTGTGCAAAAAGGCAAATTTTACTCGGGAGAGCAGTGGGTGAGACATGGAGGATGAGGAGGAGGCTGCACCGGAGGTGGGGGGGACACACGATGACGGAGGGTCTACGGGCTCTGTCTTCAAGTGCTGTGTTTTGTGCTGAGTTTGGATAAATGGAATATGGAGACAATAATTAAAAGGATGAAGTCTGGGAAATGAGGAGAAGGAGGGGTTTTCGAGGTGGCACTCTGACTACTCCCACGGTGTCATTCTCTTGGCCATGCAAAATGAAGACAGCATTTAAAAAAATGGAGCGTTGCCCTTTTCTTCACGTTTCCCGCTCTGTTCATGCTCTCCTTTGGGGTATTGTCAGGCTTCGGAAAGGATGCGATGCTGAAGCAAGCTGACGTGATGGCAGGTAGTCACGTACACACATGTATACGTACTGTATATTTGGTGGTTCTGTGGTGCTTTATGTTTGCAAAGCACGGTGCCGATATTAACCAACCAGTCCAAGGGGCTTTTGTCCCATTTCATTTATGGTAAAGCATGATGGCTGTGTGTCGCTTGACATTTATATATAGGAACTTCACGGGAACAGCTTTTATTTTACTAGGACGCACACTTTCATTGGAGTCCCTGCAGCAGAGTGCTTAGCAGAGTGCACGAGAGGAGAGATGAACATCCCAAAAGATATTTATAGATCTGTATCCCCAGTCCTTTCCTCTTCTGTATGAAAGCAGTTCTCTGAAAGGATTATTTTGACTGGCTGTTCAAGATTTCCTGAGGAGGAGATTAACGGGCGGGAAGCCTCGCAGCGCAACTGGCAAAGCTCGCCGGCTTTGCACATTTTCATGAGCTTCGTGGCTCTCCCGTGTCAAGGTTATCTTTCTCAGACAGGGCGGTGCGGATGTCAAACAGCGATGCAGCAAGCAGAAGGGCCGGGGTCTGACAGCAGCTGCTGGAGCGCAGAATTACTTGTGCCTGGAGAGCACTGACCCCAACGGGGAGTTACAGCGGATGTGCCCCAAGGTGTCTCCATCCCCCTCATCCCCTCTTTTTTTTTTTTTTTCTTTGCGTACTTGAGAAAATCCCCTATTTCAAATGGCCAAGTGGGATATGATGGATGTGTTTTACACCGGTCTTTCTCCCAGGAAGTCAGTGCTTTCAGGTGGTACCAACTTTGCCTGATCCTGACAGCGATCCTGTGAGTATCCCGCAAAAGAAGGGGAGGCGAGAGCCACCCAGATGTTTAGGTTTAAGGGGAGAGAACAATTTAACCTGTAGATACAGCAGAAGCTGTTTACAGAGTCATTTCAGCTCCACCTTAGCCCTCCTTTGCCAAGGCAATCCCCCAAATTGAAAAAAGAAATTGCCAGAACCTCCTTCCATCCTGCAGCTATTCCAGTGCCAAGGGTACAAAAGGATAATATCCCCCCCCGGGGGGGTTCCTGGTCTGTCTGACTATATTTACAACAGTGTTGTTCTGCTGCAGTAAGGGGACGGGACTTCTTCTTCAGCCACTGTCATACCCCCTTGATTTCCTCTGCTTTTCCTTAAGCAGAGTCTTCAGGGTGATGTTGCACTTAAAAAAAAAAAAAAAAAAGAAAAAACCTGCAGTTCTTATTTTGAGGCAGCTGTACCAAACAGATTCTCACGGGTACAGCACACTCAGAAATCAGTTTAGCAAGCCCCTGGAGTTGATGTCATGGTGTTTTGTTTTGGTCTGTTTTTTGGGGGTTTTTTTTTGGTTTTTTTTTTTTTTTCAGGGAGGAGGGTGAATGCCTGTTTTTCTCCACGCATATGTGAGGGATGGCTTTGGAGCGAGCCCCAGCAAGGGGAAGTAACGGGCTGGGTTTCCAGGGAAGCGTTGGTGGTGCCGGCGGGTCGTGCGGTGCCGAGCGGTGCCAGGGAACAGGCGGCAATGGGAAGGGGCAGAGCAGAAGAACAAAGTGGGGATAAGGATGAGGTGAGAGGCACTAAGTGGCAGGAAAGCCTGTGTTATTTTTTTGCATCATAGCAATTTCAAACCTTATCAACACGATTCTTACTGCCTTTAACGTGAGACTCCATTTGAAGCCACCTTTGGAAGTCTTTGAAAGTGGGGGCGAGTTGGAGGGTTACTCTCTCAGAGTGGTCTTGTCTCCTTCTACTGCTCCTTGTAAATCAGAAGCAAGCTGCAAGCTGCCTGGTAGGTTTACACTGGTGTAAAACAGGCAGAAGGAAAAGAAGGATTAGTGCCTGCTGTGGGAGGAGGGCTGGGAGTTGTCTTGCTGCAGATGCCCTGAGGACCTGTGCTGTCTCCTTCGTCCTCTCCCGGCAGCAGCTCCCTCCTGCCGGCCCCTGTCCACGCACAGGTCCTTTCTTCACAGTCACAGCACTGGTCTCCTCTTGGACAATATACCTCTTTTGACTTAATTCCGTAACCGCTTTTAGGTGATGGGTTTTCCTCCTCAGGAGATTAGTAGCAGCTTAGCATTAAATACCATCCTTAAATACCAGCTATGATCTTGTGCTCAGTAGACCACAAAACATAAACTTTGATGCTAAACCAAGAAAAGGCCATTTTGGGGGGGAAAAAAGAGAACTTCAGTCCTAATAAAAACATTTGGCCTAATAAAAGGCCCAGTTTCAATCCAGATACTATTTATGGTCTTGCTGCTCACACAGTTGTGTCTGGGTGGACTATAAGAAAGTTTCCCAGAAAGACAGCCTTTTATTAAATTAACAGAAGGTCACAACTTGCTGCCTCTCAGCCAGTATATTTCTATATATTTGCTTGTACCCAAAGTACCTGAGAGTTTTCCATATCTGATAGTACAGATAATAATAATTTGCATGATAGAGAGACTGGATAAAAACACTGTTGTAAGTAAATGTGTCCCCATTGAACAAATGGATTTCGCAGCTTGGCACCTGCTGGGAACTCCTACCAGGCTGCGTCCCATCCAGCGAGGGGAAACCAGTTATCCAGCCGTGGTGTGAATGCTGGGCGGCATGCACAGACCTTCTGGATAACCTGTGGCGGAGTACAGACAGACAGACACATGGGGCAAAAGTTGTCCAGGGCTCAGTCCAGTGAAAATATTCCTTTTGTTAGTGTTAAATCCCTACTAAAGGTAAGGATTTTTCATAAGGCTTTTCCCCATCAAAATATGGGCAAAAGGGTGCAGAGCGGTTACTGTTGGCAAATGATGTGCGCTTTGGGTGAGGATGCTTTCCAGTGATCTGACAGAAGCTGTGGGACTCTTCTGCAGCTATCCAACACAGCAGCCTGTGCTTCTCTGCCATCTCCAGCACAGCGTCAAAGCCAAAGCGTGAACATGCTGCAGCAGTTGTGTTCAGCCGTATTGGGCTTCGACTACAAAAATTGGGGTACAACTGTGAAGTCTGAGCCTGTAAAATGCTGTCAGTGTCTTCCAGGGAGTTATTTGTAGGGGGAAGGATGCAGGATCCATCCCTGGTAAGGAAAGATGTATTTCTGTGCCCACCTGCGATGCTCACAGCATTTGGGTACTGCCTGTTCAGATGTGCCAGATGGATCAGGGGCTTTTGCTTGAGACTTGGGGTCTCCTCACTGGCGAGGCTGATGGAGATGTCACCAGGGAGGGCCCACGTCTGAAAACAGCAGTGTTACTGAGACTCGCCAACATCATTTCTCCTCCCAGCTACTTCCCGCTGTTCCACACAGCTAGCCAAACGCTCAGGCGTACTTTAGATATCAAGGGTGCTGTTTCGCTCCTGTGCAGGAAGGGCAACAGATAGCTTTCCACATTATATATCCTCTTAGATCACAGACATATAACCTCTTGTTTCTCTGAGCTTCATCTGTATATGATGAGTGAGTGAGGGAGCGAGTGAGCCTGTGGCTGTGTTGCTCTGACAGGCGCCTGGGTGCTGGGTGCTGCCACTCTCCTGTGAAGCCATAGGAAATGTTTCGCTATTCAAGATAAGAAAGACCTTCACTTCCTCCTTCTGTGCTTGTAGGGCTGAGCTGCCGCTGAGGCTGCACCGTCCACCCTGACAGCCCGCTCACAAAATGGACCAGGAAACCCTGGGAAGTGTTGTCCTGCTCGCCATCGTCACCTTGATAAGTGTTGTCCAGAACGGTAAGATGAAAATAAGCATTTATTTAAGGGTTAAAAGGGAGCTGAGAAAAGTTCAGGATGATGTATGCTGATCTGATCGTTGGATAGATAATCTCTGGTTATAAATGTGTATCTGCTGAGACGTGACTTTGGCTTTAATCTTCTAAGCATAAAATTTTGCATGCCGTTGTTGCAGTACCTTGGCGGTTGCATGGTCCTACTCTGATATTCTAGAGTGAGTTTGTTATACATGTGTCAGCTAATGAAATGACTAATATTCTGAGGTACCCTGTGGCAATATTGATTTCGATTTGAGGACTGAGACCTCCTTTCCTGGCTCAAGTAATGTGGGCAGCCAGAGCTGCTCTCCAGCCAGACCCCTGCTGCCGTGGGCAGGGTCCAGGGACGCTGGGGGGGCTGTGATGGGTCAGACCTTCGCTAAGAGATGAGCGAAGGGGACAAAGCTGCACCGACTCACCAGAGGAGTCTGTCCGGGTTATTTGTGGGCAGGCAGCTCTCCGGTTTTCCTGCATCTCCAAGTCCTACCGTCCAACTAATCTCAGTAAACTGCAGTCCCAAGAACACTGCGCATTTCCTGCAATGGGGAAGTTTCCTTTTTTAGCTCTTGTTCAGATCTCTGTAGCCCCTACTATTCTTCAAGATTTTTTAAATAAACCAACAGGCTTCTTGCTTGTGCAAATCTGTTTTTAACTCGATCATCATCTCTTACAAACACTTCATCATTTTATCAGGAAATTCTGCCCAGAATACAGAGAGGGCAGTGAGCTTTGCTGCAGCCGCGCTGAGATTGCCCAGGTTGAAGGAGTCAGCAGTGGGATGGGGGGCTGATGCAAGTGCTAGAAATCTTCTGTGAAGGCTTCTCAGTATGAATGGGAGTTTCCCACTGAGCACAAACCCCATGTTCAGTCCAAGGAAATGGGCTATTCTTGGGCTGCTGCAGGGAGGGGAAGTGGTGAGAGCCTCAGCATAAGGCCGGCTGCCACAGAGCAAGAAAAAAAAGAGACGCAGACTGGTTTGGTTTCGACACAGGCACTAAATGCCATATCGTTTAGCCCAATACTGTTTTCTGGTAAATGTACAGGGTATGATGTCACCAGAACACGACACATTGAGGTCAGAGCACGTGCCGCAATTAAAAAGAAGTGTGTCAAATATATGTTTCTTGCTATTTAACCAGATGACTTTATATACAGCTTTTTCCTCTCACTCTGAAACTCGAGCATTTGCCTTCCAGCCTGACATGCACTTTCATCTCATGGAAATCTGTCTGTGAGATTATTGACCCAACAGGCCACACGGCGCTTTGCAAGGGACTTAGTGTGCCAAGCAATAGTGGCACACAGCCCTAAGCCACGATTTCAGACTTTGCGTCATTTGATTTCCTCCTCACAGGCTTTCTGTTTGGGAAGACCAGACTGATACGCAGTCCTGCAACAAATGCAATACCTAAGGCAGTAGAAATGCTTGGCAAGGGATATCAGTTATGCTGAACTCTTGCTGTGGCTCTGGTTCAGCAAAGCTCTTGGGCATCTGCTTCATTGTCTTTAAGTACGTGAAGCCAGTACCATGTAAATTAGGGTTTATATTCTCTTCTGCAGGATTAGAAAACATTTTGGGTGAATGCTGTTATTCCCAAAGCTGGAGGTGGGCTGTGGTGCTGCCCCAGTCTGACGTCCATTCACTGTCATGTTGTCCATTTACTGTTACCTTGTTCGTGTCGGGAATCTCCGTATCCTACAGAGTGACTCATGCGGCCGGATGCCACGGAGCCACACATGCAGCTTTAGGTTTTCTTCTTGCATCAGGGAGATGTTGAAAGTCAGCAGCTTTCAGGGCAAATCAGTGGTCATTGCTGAGCACATCAGGGTGGAGGAAGCAAAGCGAAGTCAAGGGAAAGAAGGGGTAACCTGCAGGTTTGCCAGCACTCGCTAGGTTGGACCATCAGCGTGTGGTTTCTGTTGCATTAACTTGTGAAACAACGAGGCTTGAACTGAAGTCTTGTACATTAACTTGACCAGAGTGGGACTGCAGTGGTTCAGGCTCAGGGCAGCCTCTGCAGCCCTGGAGCCTCAGGGCGTCATCTCCTGCTGCAGCTGAGCTGAATTAAACCCCCTCAGCTACAGCCCTGCTCCACTCAGTCATCTCATGCTGGCTTGTGAAACCACCTTCTTGCCTTGAGGTTCAGGGTACAGAGCAGGAAATATTAACCATGGTGTTGCAAGCTGCTTCACGCTATGGTCTCCCATTTTCCCAGTGCCAGGCTAACAGGATCCCAATGCTGCTGAGATGTGAGCGCAGACCTACAGTGAGGGCCACCCTTGGATGTGATCTGTCAGCTCTGCTCCAGTCCTTTGCAGGCCTTCAGCCTGGCTGAGCCTCAGGCATCTGGGACCCACCTCTTGGCCTTCCTTCTGGGGAGATTTTGGGACCCTGCAAGGTGTGTCAGGTTGACAGGGCTAAGGAGCCACAGAACTGGGGAACCACTTCCAGGGTGAAAAGCTCACTTGAAGCAGGAGGCTCTGCCTCTCCATATGATGATGACATGCTGGGTTCCCTTCTGATTCACTGCCCTCACCTTGGTGGTCCACGTGGTCCTGAGGAAATACAGTCGCTGCAGTGGGTTGGAGGTAATCGACCCAGTCATTTTCTGTAATGAATAGGTGGACATCTTATGTGTGGTGGTTGTCTAAGCTCTTTCTTGAGTCAATGGAGAAAGATCAGCACTTCAGTGGGGTGGTTTCTCTCATGCCAGTAGCTGAGGGGTGGATTGACCTCTGGAGGTGCATTTCCTCTGTTTCTCTCTGTCATCCACTGTTTACAGAAGGAAAATATCCATCTCCCTAACACTTCTCAATGTCTCTGAAGTGAGGTGAGACAAAGCCTGCTCCTCATCCATGGTGCGGGCGTACATGATAACCCTACCTCTGTCCTTTGCCCTAATGCCTAGTCTGTTGTCCAAGGATTCATACACCATGTTGGAGATGGCAACAGCTTCCAGGACAGATGCCTGGACCTTCACAGCCAGATCCTTGCCAGGAGACCCAGCACCCCCATGCCTGCCCAGCCCTGATCCCAGAGACTGGGCACCAGGAGTGTCACCACCAGCACTTCCGAGTTCTTGTCCTCAGTGACCACTGTCATTTTGGACATGTCTGTGTTCAGCCTGATGACTCTTGGCATCATGGAGCTTCTCTCCAGCAACACACTGGCAACTGGGAAGTGGCAGCACCTGCGGCAGCAGAGAGGGAGATATATATAGTTTACTCTTGGCTTTCTCTGAAGCTGTGGCATCTTCTAGTGGTTTCACGTACGTGCTAGAAGGAAGGGAGGAGGCATGCTACATATCCCAGTGAGCCCATGCAGTCCCAGACCTGCAGGAAGTGGTTTCCCAACACAGCAGCTTTGCACTGTACAAAAAATTGCTGTCCAACCTAGTCCTCTTCAACTCTCAGACACCACAGGCAGGTTAATAGCCCCATGCCAAAGGCTGGGGTGGCATGCAGATGGAGATGCTGGGAGTTCTTGGTGGCTGTGCTATCTGCTCTGGTTCCCCCAGGGCCAGGTCCTCCAGTAGCCGGCCAGTGTACTGAGCCGGTGGCAGTGGGAGGGTCTGCAGCCTGGCTCAGAGTGGGGATGCTGGCTTAAAGCACTGCAGGTTTTTCCGGAGAAAGGCTGGATGTACCCAGGGAATCACTTGATATTGGAAGGCAAAAAATTCAGTAGCTTTTAGCGAAGGCAGTGGAAGTACAAAAGACCTACTTACAGCATCAGTGAGGGGGAAAAAAAGAGGTAACTCTTCAGATTCCAGGGATTAAATCCTGCAGCTTATCAAGTTACACTTCTATTGTTATACCAACGCCTCTCCTGATGAGTTATCTTTAATATGTATCTGGCTAATATTCTAAACCATCGAGTGATTCGGGCACACCGAGATGCGATGCACGACAGTACAAAGCTTGCAGCTTGTAGCCTGTCAGGGCTCTGTCTGGTGCATTTAGACACATGATTGATGGTCTCTGGTTTAGTGTCATCAGATAAAATGTGTTTGTCAGCCACATGATACATTATCTTGAGGTGCTGCATTTTTGCAGCCGCTAACACTCTGGCACAACACTGTTGCTTAAAAGGAGGATAAAACATAATGCGGACACATAGCCACCAGCTATCAGGACCAGATTCTCAGTGGGCATTTCTGGAAAATGAAGCAGCCCTGCAGGATGTCCCTGGTTTGGCAAATGGGTATTACTGAAAGAGAAGAGACTCCCTTGTCTCCCTGCTCTATTAGAGAGTGAGAATTGGGTTTGGCAGCTTTGTCTAGAAAGCTTTTTTCCCCACTGGGGGCACAAAGGACAGGGTCCGGGCTGTACTTCTGCAGCAGGCAGAGGTGCGGGCTGCCAGAAGTGCAGTGCGGGGATGAAGCAGGGCTCAGAGGCGAGTGCCTGCTCTCTGTCACATACAAACACGGCGGGGTGTCTGAGGTGACATCGTGCTGTGCCCTTGCACAGATTTGGTTATGCTGCGGTGACAGGGCGAGCGTGCTGTCCACATCCTGCACCTCCACGCGCCCGTGTCCTCTCCTGCCGTCCAGCCTGGATGCTCATGAGAACAGAGCTGAGCTCGCAAAGCCCAGCTTCTACAGTATCTCCAGATTCCATCTCAGATCTCAGATCGAATACTCTGTTTTTTTAACAGCCTTTTTTGCTAGCAAACTGGAGCATGAAAGCAAACACTGCAATGGCAAGGGGTTCCAGCGGCCGGGATCTTCTGCCTTCGACCGCGTTTACACTGCCAAGTGAGTAGGCAAGTCCTGAGGAGCCGGTGGGGGCAGAGCGGTGCTTGTCCCTCTCTTGGTTAGGGTTTAATCCAAACCCTTTTAGGGTCCAGAGGTGGGTCCCAAATGCCCTCAGATGAAGGCTTTACTCTGCAGTCCCACTGCTGCGTGCATTGCTGTGATGTGTAGACCTGCAGTTCTCCAGTATGTTTGCTGGTGAACCCATCTCCTTTCTGGACACCGGGTGCTCTATTTGTATTGGACTTGCAGCCCTTATGTGTATTGTGTCCCTTCATTTGGGAACTCGTTCACCCGGCAGTAGGTAACGCTGGCAGTGTGGTACGAGCCCAGCCGGGGTCCCAAGGGCACTGAGCTCAAAAGGAAAGAGCCAGCGGAGAGATGCCAGCTTGCTGAGGAGCAGGTCGGTGGCAGAGCTCGTACAGACCCCTTGGTCCCTGGGCAGCTCCCTCGGCACATGGCTCTCCGCTTCTCTGCCACATCCGTACCTCTCGTCTTTGACATCCCTTCAGAGAGAGCAGAGCAGAGGGGAAAATTAATTCCAACCAAGAAGAGAAAAGAACATAAAATATTTTTTTATTACCTGTGAAGGACCGATGCTGTGCTTGAAACCGGGTGTGATGTCCAAGTGCTGCCCTTCACAGGTGTACAACTGCTGCCAAGGGCAGAGTGCTTCCCCCTCGGAGAGCATTCCCGGCTGAAGGAGGCAGCTGGAAATCATTCCTGTTCCCCTGCAATGACACATGTTAACTCTGTGAGCCACTCCTATTTGCGGTGCGATTCTCCCTTTGTTATTTTCATGCAGCTTTCAATGCCAATAACTTGATTAATATGACTTCATTACAAGGATTTTCCAAGCCAATAAAGCACACAGCATCTATTATACACATGCCATGATCAAACAGGTTAGAGGAGGGAAGCGGCTTCCACAGGTGCCAGGCATGTGTGTGGGGCAGTTTGTTTTCCTCTTTAGGCGTGACAAAGGCATCCTTTATCCCGGCCAGGAAACCGGGAAGCAGACCCGCGGGTGAGGCAGCCCCCGTGAAAAAACCCCGCCCCGCCCCCGGCACCTGCCTGCCGCAGGCAGGTCAGGGACCTCCCACCGCTCTGGGGTAAAAGCCCACCCTCAGCGGCTATAGTGCAGCCCACATTCACCCCCCCGCCATCCTTTGCTGGTGAAACACGTTGATTTTGCTCCTATTTCCTCCGTGTTCTGACTTCTCTCTGACAAATTCCTTTCTAGCCAGAACTGCGGACACGCGTACCCTACGTTTCTGGCCGTGCTGTGGTGTGCTGGTCTTCTCTGCAGCCAAGGTAACGCACCGTTTTTTTCCCCTCTTCAACCTCGCACCGCTTTCAGCAAGGGATGGTGAGCATTTTGGAGGTTACCCTCCCAGGGACGGAATTCCCCCGCAGTGCAGGGACCAGTCTCACCCAGCTGTTCTTCAGCTACCCATGCTGTTTAATTAGCATCATGCTCCCTGGCACAGTTGATGCCAACAGACGTGTTCCCAGATGTGAGTCTGGACAGTCTGGCCAGGGACATTTCCCATATAGGCATTATGGATGAGATACCTCTGTTTTGGGTGGAGGGTTTAGTGCCTGGAAGCTGGATGCTGCCTTATTCACCCCCGGGACTTGAAATGCGCTCATTTCATCAAATTGCCTTTGCAGTGCTGAGGGCAGCCCAGGAATATTTACCTGCATTTCTAAATATGATCCCTTTTAGTGCCATTTGAGTTTTTCTTAAGTTGAGTACTTTCCTGGAGTCTGTGGCTATTCTTTCTGGAAGAGAGGAGTTTTCTGACCAGAAGGGCTGTTGCCTGAAGGTGTGGGGAAAGCTGGAATTAGGGGGAAAAGGGGGAAAGCTCTTTTTATGTCCTCAGAAATGAGTATTGGACCATAGTACGTTTCTCTACCTCTTCCCAGAGAAGTGCATCTATCAGCTGCCTTTTATTGATGGTGAAAGCAGTGCCCGAGTCAGCACCCTCCTTCCTGAGCTCAGCATCACCTGCACCGCATTTCTGCAGTGGGCACGGCTGTGGGCAGCATTATACCCACAAAGCCTTCAGAAAAGCTGGTGTGAGGGCAAGTGCTCTTTTTCCCATACAAAGGTCTCTGTCCTGCTTCCAGTGCTCATCCCATAGCCCAAGGCTGCAGGTTCCTGTTCCCCGCTCCAGCCCGGGGCACCAGGTGGGGACAGTACGTACAGAGAGACCTGTGCTGGTGCCTCTAACGCTTTGTTCTACCCTTTACTCAGCTCCTGCCGCCTTTGCTGGCCTGATGTACTTGTTTGTGAGGCAGAAGTACTTTGTGGGCTACCTTGGGGAAAGGACTCAGAGGTAAGGACTTGCAGAGCCTCTTTAAAAAATCTGGGCTCTGGCAGCAGTGCTGCCTGCGATGGCTGCTTGCACAGGGTAGCGCGGGAAAGCCCCAATCTTTTGGGTGCCCGGGAGGAGGTGTGGGAGAGTGGGGAGGTGCAGAGGCACTGGGGTCAGGGGAAATGCAGGAACAGATTGGCTGCTTCAGCATCTCCTGCTCACAACTTCTGCAAACACACGTTTGCGTGTTTGTGCCGCTGTTTGCACAAGATCATCTTTTTATATTAATAAAGCTCATTGCACACACGTGGAACAAGGTTGTCCCACAGCCTGTGGTGGCTGAGAAGACATACAAGCCCTCTGAATAGCCACTTTGGTAAGCAGCAGCCTACGCTGAGCCCAGGAGGCTAAATCCAGACCCAAATGGATCCCGAAAATGGCATTTAAGAGCTCGCAGCTACCTTGCAATGCAAGACAGAGCAGAAATTTGCCCCCTCCATCTCAGCCCATGAGGTCTTTCAGCTGGTCTCAACAGCAAAGTCTGAAGTCTGAGGATGTCTCGCGTGAGGTGACGTACATTAATGAATTGCTTTCCCCCCTTCCTGTCTCCTCAGCACTCCCGGTTACTTGTTTGGAAAGCGCATCATTTTGTTCCTGTTCCTCATGTCCGTGGCTGGAATACTCAACTACTATCTCATCTTCTTTTTTGGAAGTGACTTTGAAATGCACATAAAAACGATAACCAGCGCAATCTCTCCATTGCTGCTCATCCCCTAGCTCCCCGCAGCACTGAGCGGGTCAGCGTGCTTAATATATCGATACCCAGAAGCAGCCATAATTCAACTGTTTAAGAAATGAACCCTTAACCCTTTTAGATTGCTGTAAATCTCGTGCTTGATGGGCTTTGTAGTTTGATTTAACCTTGCTTTTTCCTTCAGGAAAAAGATTTATCGTGAGCCCTGAGCACGCCCAAGGAATGGTAACAACTTCCAGTTAATTCTTTAGAGTTTTTTTCCCTAAACTGCAGCTTGCAAGCTGATTGCATGACTGGAAGAGACATTGTATGCTTCCTTCATAACTGTACTGTACTTAGCTTTTGTCCCAAAGCCCAGGAACCTGTCGGCATCATTCCTGACTGATGGCTCCCACACAGGCACAGCCTTTCACCAGCATCCCGCACGCCCCTGCCCACGCAAAGGCATGGACCAGCCTTTTCACCTACCCTTTCCCTCCCACTTGTTGATGACCGAGCTCCCGCTGCTGCAGGAAGGCAGCAAATTGGTCCCTGTCTGGTCTTCCTTGATAAATATTCATGTGCGTAACGCTCCCGACACTGATCTCATTTACACTTCAGCCTTTTTGTTCTCCCAGAGCTGTGGAAAGGGGTCTTGCGTAAGTGAGGAGCTGGTGTATTGACGGCGGGATTGGTTTTGTTTTGCTTGGCTTTGTTTAATAAAACAGTCTAAAAGGACGAAATCTGCTCCCGTCTTCTTTGCCTGGTGCGTGATCCCAATGCTCCGCAGCTCAGCAGCTGGCCGGTGAGCGGAGTGTGGGGAGCAGCACCAGGCTCTTTGTGCGAGCTGCTAATCGCCCTGGGCACGGCCTCGCAGGGACGCGAGTTTAACAACTCCCTCTCTATTAGCAAGTTCAATTTTCTGCCTCCATCACTAACAATGTGCCCCTTCAAGTCCTTACCGAGGAGCGGTTTGATGAGAGAAGTGGACCGAGGTAGGCAAAGAGGCCGGCGCAGTCTTTTTTGCTACCCTACGAGAGCTTAAGCTCTTAAGCCTGTCTGATTTCTGCATGCAGGATGGATAAAGCTGTATTTTATGACTCCTTTGGGAGGAATAGAGACTTCTCGCTACCTGAGAAGAGGGTTTGCAGAGCTGTTCGCAAAAGCAAACGCAGAAGGCCCCCTGCCTTTGTACCGCACCAAGGCTGGTGGGCTTTGTTGCTGCCCGATGGGGCAGAGGTGCTCGTGCACGGCTGCTCTCCTCTGCACCCGACCATTCGTGCTGCCAAAATGACACCCCCCCTTTTTTTCTTACCTTCTACAGGAATTTTAGATGTGAAAGATCAGTAATATGTGTATTTATTGTGTGACAATTGGCTAATAAATATTCTTACTGGTTAGAACAGGTAATTAAAAAAATATAATCTAACCTAACCTACAGCTACCTATGCCTTATTCCTGGGCACAGCGCTTATGTTCCTTCCCTCCCCTCCTTCTCAAACCGCTGTAACACACTCCAAACCCTGCTTCACACCGTGCTTCTCTGCCACCCTCTCTCCATACCTCATGGGCAGCCACCCGTCCTTGGTGGTGACCCACCACCCCTCTGTCCCATGAGATCAGCCCACCAAGGGATGGTGGTTACCCTCTCTCAGGAGGAGCGGGGTAACCCCCATGGTCTGGAGTTACAGAGCTCTTCTGCACTGCTGGTATCAGCAACGGCTCACATTGCCACCACCGTTACTCGGATCAGAGAAGGAGATGCTTCACCAGGACCACAGTCCCTGCTCTCCAGCCAGTCTGGTCTGCATGAGGTCTGAGACTTCTTTATGAAGACTATAACTTCTGGGAGGTGGCTCTCCCAACCTTGTGTGTCCACATTGCAGGTCTCCCCAGCTGGATGAGTCTCCCCTGGTGCCTTTTTGTCCTCTACAGCAACAAGCAGCTCACTTGACCTCTTTCTGGTGTCTCCTGCTAGCATGAGAAGAGGCTCTACATCAGCCAGCTATAAAGGGCAGAGGGTTCAAATGTCTATTTTGGGCAAGATAATCTATGCTAGTGCTCTCAGGCCTCTTTCTTGACTTGACGGTTGGTTTCTACACAGATGTATTTAGGTAAGATCAGGTCATCTTCTGAGGGAACTAAGGCCCATCTTTTGCTATAATCATTTATTTTGCAAGAGTATCTCCTATTTACTTCCTCAAAGCCTTTCTGATAATGAAAGAGATGAAAATGTAGGCAAAATCTATTTTCCATCTATTTATAAATGGAAATGGTGATAGTATCAGACAAACAGGTGGTACATAAATCGATCCCTATGTAAATTCTCTGTGAACGTCACGTTGTGTTTTCCGTGTTACAGGCAAGCCTTGTGGTTGCATTTGCCTTCTCACTCTTTCTACGAAAGGAAGGCGACGTCAGTGCTATTTGGGCTTTCCTCACTGTGTTAGACAACTCCAGTTTTTGTTTTCGGCAGTAAAACCTCCCCGATCTGGGCGGCACAGTTGCCAGCGCTTTGCACGCTGGCTACTCAAAAAGCCGCAAACATAGGGTCATTCCAGAAGGGTTGGACTAGATGACTTTTAAAGGTCCCTTCCAACCCAAACCCTTCTATGGTTCTATAGATCCACATACAAAAATACATACGCTACTGTAAAAGACCTGCAGGTGCATATTGGGGTCACGTACAGACGAATTCATTAGGACCTACTGAGCTGCACTGGACATGGGGACGTGACTGGTGGCAGAAGTGGCAGTCCCTTCTGATGGCTCCTGTTCAAGGCTGGCTTGCAAGCTCTGGGGATTGGCACTCACACGTGGTGCAGCACACGGGACGGCAGCCCCTAGCCTGGAGCCAGGGCTGTACTCCAACAGCTCTCACTTTCCCACCCTGCTGATTGCACTGATGCTGCTAATTGTCCCGTTTGCTGTGCTACAGGGCCGTGGGCTTTGCTCCACCGGCATTGCCCCAGCTCCTCGTTGTGGTGTGCCACCACCACACCACGTGGCTCTTTGTGCGTGGAAATCCCACGTACACAAATAAACATATTGCCTGTGTGTGTATACGCATAGACACAGTGTGTTTACCTACTATATCTGTATATATATGTACAAATACAGTAAGTAAACACATATAAAGTGTATATATATAAATTTATATATATATAGTAGGTGCTGAGTCATGTGAAAGCTAGAGGCTTTTCAGGGAAGGCAGGGAAGCGGGTTGCTCAGGCACCATCCCTCTCGCAGCTTGCAGGCTGTGTACATCAGAGACTGCGGAGACTGCTGGAAGCCGGGTTATCACAGGATGCTTTTGATCTGCTGACAAAGGCCTGGAGTACGTACAATATTCCTGCTACAGTAACCGCGTCTGATTCCATACAGCACTACAACCCTCTAGTGGAAACTCAGCCCTATCGGCATGCTGGTGCTTCTGGCCATGGGATGAGCTGTTCCTTTGAGGTTTGCAGCCTGATGGTGATAACAACGGCATCCACATTTCTGAACAGATGCGTTGTTGCTATCAAATGCTATTTTTTATTATTCTGGCACGTAGGAGCCTAGTCCTGAAGCAGGACCCCCATCCTACCTGCCACAAAGCAAACAGTCTTGCTTAGCACATGGTCCAAGCAAGCAGGTCACATCCAAGTGGGATAAGAAATCTGTGCGCACCACCCACAAGGGTTTCTTGCAGTATTTCCCAGATTCCTAGTTTCCCAGAACTTGCAAAATTGGCCTGTGCAGTGTCAGCTCGGTCTGAGTCATATCTATGCCAAGTCGAGTTTCCAAACGAGCCTCTGAGGATCGGGAGAGCAGTTCTGCTGGTGTGGAGCAAAGACTGGCCCTGGGCAGCTTCTTCAGCCCTCACATGCTCTGAGGTGACTTTCTTCTAGCAGAGCAGCTGGTTTAACATTCACAGAAACCTTTCAAATGCCCTGTTGGGGTGGGATGCTGCAAAGCATCGAGCCCTGGCGAAAGGCAGTGCTGTGCCTTTTGCAGACCGCAGTGGGAGCAGGATTTGGCTACACGGGAGTGCTTGGAAGTAGTCCACCCTCTATAGGTAAAAGGGTGGTACAGAAGGAGAAAAGTGGTAAAACCATTCCCTGGGTGATTTTAAATTGGTCTCATGTCCCAGCCAGAGTGAGTAGGGTGAGCATTCCCATGGAAAAGCCCCTCGGTGAGCTGCAGAGCCCAGCAGCGCCTGCCCGGTGTCCTTACAGGGGACGTGCTTGACACCCAGGAGGAAGAAGGACCTTGGAGGCTGGGACGTTCCTTCGAGGCACCTGGAGGACTTGTGTAAGCTTTCACTGTCCCTTTTGGTAATGAAGACTGCTGTCCCCAGAGCTGTCACGGAGGCTGCAGGACACCTCAGCTGTGCCTCCTCTCAAGGCAGTTTGGTGCCTCGAGGGATTAGGATGGAGAAGCAGCCCTGCACCACTACCTGCCTGCAGCAAAGAGCTGCTTTTAGCAGAGCTGCCATAAACACCAGGAAAACATGTCCCGTGGAGAGGAACAGCTCAAGCTTGTGCCTGACTGCTCTCCCTCGGTGTACCTGCTCTGGCAGAAGGAGGCTGTGGGCAGGAGGACATCAGCAGTCCTCCATCCATCCTGCCTGGGAGTATCTCCCTGCTCCCAGCCAGCGCGCAGAGACATGAAACCTGGCAAAGTGAGATTCCTGCCCCAAAGGACAAACAGCCTCCACAGCAAGCTGATTTTCCCCTTTAGAGGAGAAATAAATAACTTTTCAATTTCAGCTATGAGGATCTTCGCACTGCGAGATGATTTCATCAGACAGATGAGCTCCCGGGGCTTTGTGCTGCCTGCCTGCTGAGCTGCTCGGATGTCGTCCCTTGGGCGCTTTCCACTCATCCCTGAGGGCAGGGGACAAGACACCAAAGGGCCAGCCGTGATGTGGGGCGCAGAGAGCAAATATGGTGTGCTTTTCACCTAAAAAAATTAAGGCATGATGGCGTTGCAGTGGAGTTAAACTCGTGGTTTCGGCAGTACCGTTTCTGCTGTATGGGAACTGGCAGGGACTGCTCGCATGCCGTGACCTCTCGCAAGGCCAGGGGATGCTTTGGGAGGCTCAGGAGAGGGGCTGCCGCCTGCTGCGCTGCTATTTGCCACCACTTCTAAAAACATACGGCTGATTTATTGTTCCTGTGTTTTCCCAAGAGAGTGCCACCGCCTCCTTCATCCCCAATGTTGTCTGTGCTTTTGGCGCAGCACTTCAGAGGGGCACAGCCCGATGCATCAAGAGCCCCCTCAGCGTTCTGGGATGAAGCAGAGCAGCACGATGTCTCCTGGCCAGCTCCTTCATGCTTCCCCAGTTATTTGTGCTGCAGC